AGAGGTTATGGTTTTTGGACGTGAACAGCTTAGGGACCAAATTTGCAGCCTTTCACCTCCTCTGGATGGCATTAATCTGGCCTCCAGTTCTAATGTAAAGAACCTTGGTGTTATTTTTGATCAGGACATGCCTTTTAACCCCCACATTAAAAATGTTACCAGGACCACCTTCTTCTACCTGCATAATATCACTAAAATTAGAAATATTTTGTCCAAAAAATGACGCAGAAAAACTGATTTATGCATTTATCACGTCTAGACTGGATTACTGTAATTCTTTATTATCTGGGCTCCAAAAAACTCTTTAAGAAGTCTTCAGTTGATCCAAAATGCTGCTGCTAGAGTTTTAATGAGAGTTGTAAGGAGAGATCATATTTCTCCTGTTTTAGCTTCTCTCCACTGGCTCCCTGTCAAATTCAGAATAGAATTTAAAATATTACTCCTAACATACAAAGCTCTCAACAACCAAGCTCCATCATATATTAAACATCTTATTGTTCCATACTTTCCTAACAGAGCTCTTCGCTCTCAGACTGCAGGTTTACTTGTGGTTCCTGGAGTTTCTGAAAGTAGAATGGGAGGCAGAGCTTTCAGTTATCAAGCTCCTCTCTTGTGGAACCAACTTCCAGTTTCTGTCCGTGAGGCTGACACTCTGTCTACTTTTAAGATTAGCTCCACACTGGGGGCAAAACAACTGCTAGCCGACGATGATCACTATTGGTTTTAGCTGTCAACATAACTTGCTAAATCCTAAACGTATGCGTGATATATAATCGGTATGGTTAACACATGCAGTGCTGTAGGGTGCACAAACAGACGAAAGAAGGACAGTAATATCAAGTTTCACAGGTTTCCAGCTGATGAAAGAAGACAAAAGCAGTGGTTAATAGCCATGAATTCAAAATAATCTGTAAGTCCCTGCTACTACAAGCATAGTTAGCATGGAGCACTGAATTAGCGTGGATACATGCTCACCCCAATACACGTCAAATTTTAGAAGGCCATTAAACTGTCTAATATGTGACCCTTTATATCGAACTGAGGATTAAATCTCAAAGTGGTATGTGGAATAAGAAGAAAATAGTGCTTTGATTAAAACATTTTCAATAATTTCATTTGTCAAAATACAACGAATAAATCCAATAAACAATTTTAATGGACTTTTTGAAGTGTAGTCCTAAAAAATTTTGTAAGCACATTTTTAAGTAATGGCAAAACAAGAAAAACAACAACAACACATTTAAAGCCAAAGAAGCCTTAAAACGTTGATATTTCCCCTGCAAGCTAGCAAAGAGTATTTATTTTCAACAGTTAAATCTCAATATTCCAATACTGTTTTGAGTTTCCTCTTTAAAGTGACATCAAAACTTGCTCATTAAAATGACATGAAAAAGGATTCATACCAAACATTACAGTATTACTGTGATCAACAAGACAAATTAAGTCATATCTCTGGAACCGCTCATCATATGAGGATGATCTAGGTATCAAAATATAGGTTTTAAAGTCAAGAATCTGAATATGTAATTAGGTAGTTTGGACCAAATTTGAATTAATCCTCAGTTTGATGTGATTTTTCACACATACATGTGCATCAATGCAAATGTGTACCAAATTGGAGTTAACAGTTGGTGTGTTGTTTATATTCAGGCCAGCCATCTGATGATCCAAAGAACCCGGCCTACATTCCCTCCATATTTAGCTTCACACCACTGGCTAAATTGTCCAGACTTGCTGATGATCGATATGAGAGGTATATGAAGCGTCGGACACTGGGAGCTGTCCCCAAGCCAGTAAATGAAGATGTCCAGCTGCCAGCAGAGTCACCACTGGATCTTCAAAATGAACCATATTGTGACAAAGGTACAATCTGAAAAGACAAAAATCTATATTCCAAAGCGAGAAATATCTGAGCAATAAGTAAATGTATGTGCTATAAACAATATACAATTGTTTTATTTTATTTTAATATTATGTTTTCAGGAACCGATCCAGCTCCCTTAGAGTTACAACTGAATGCTCTAAGAGTCCAGTATACAGAACTGCAAGAAGCACTCAACGGTCTTCAGGCTGAATACAAGCAACTGTTTTCTGAAAACCAGGAACTGAAAGACAGTGTTCAAAAAGGACAAGTCACGTACACAAACTTGGACAATGCGCAGATAAGGACACTTACTGGTCTAAAATCATCTGCCATTTTTCTGTGGGTGTTATCGCTTATTTCAGTGTTTCTAAAACCTGCGGGGAAAATATGCCTGGTCATCAACTTCTTTTGGTGTTAAGGCTTTGTTTGACAAATGCTGACCTAGCCTTTAGGTTTAAAATTTGTCTTACACATGTCTCAAAAATATTTTCAAGATGTCTGCCAATCATTTCTGAAAACCTTAAATTTTTCATTGGGTGGCCCAGTAAAGCAAAGATACTTTAAAACTTAGCTGTTTTCGACATCAATACAAAAAAAGTAGTTATTATTGATTGTACAGAAATATTTATTCAGCGACCAACAAATTTAGATACTCGTCAAACTGCATACTCAAACTACAAAAGCCACAACGCAACCAAGTTTTTAGTTGGCATAACACCGTATGTACAGTAAGCTTTGCTTCACAAGCATGGGGTGGCAGAACATCAGATAAGGACTTAACAATACAGTCTGGCTTTTCAAACAAACTTGAATTTGGAGATTCAGTTGTAGCAGACAGAGGTTTTTTAATATCAGAAGAACTTGCTGTTAATGTGGCCTCATTAGCAATGCCACCTTTTACAGGGGATAAAAAGCAGTTGTCAGAAAAAGAAGTTGAGATTGCAAGAAAGCTCTCCCGAGTACGAATTCATGTTGAACAGGCCATTGGGCGCATGAGAAACTTTCAAATACTAAAACATACAATACTAATATCTCTAATACAATATGCAGATGAAATTGTCACAGTGTGTGCAGCTCTTACAAATCTCATGGGTAGACTTGTTAAACAAAATGCATTAAAGAAAAACAAAGAACACACACCAACACTAAATGTGTTTATCAAGAACCAATTCAGAAAGTGTGATGTTAAAACCACATACATCATATCTATACTTTCATGAACTAGCTATAACTATGTGAATAAGTATCAGAATGCATTGTTTTAAGTTTTGTACAAGTGTTTTTCATGTATTAAATATGGTTGAGAATTGTCAGTTTTTCTTTATATTTTTGTTGTCATTTGCTCAATAAACAGTGCAATAGTTCATTAGTCTGTCATTCTTCTCGTTATTTCAGGAAGAAGAACATTATAAGAAAACTGTAAACATTTGTTGACCAGCTCTTGTACAAAGTGTGTGTTGTCTAAATATGGATCCCCATGGATAATGAATGACTTGGCATTGTAATAATGTTTTATGGTTTGAAACGCTACTGAGCTAAAGTTAAAAATTAAAACTGATCCAGTCATTTAGTGAACACAATTTGAAGTAGAAAGTGGTAACCACAAATCTAACTAAAGGAGGTCAAAACATTTTTATCTTTTTTAACCAAAACATCAACAATTAAACATATTAAGTCTTTATATAATAGGAGGCAAAATAAAAGAATCAAACAATGAGGACAGGACCAAGTAAAACTATTTTGAAATATTAACATAGAGCAGCAGTGACTAAAAATCATTGCCCATATTGCAAGAATGGCTTAATTCCAAAACACACCCCAGTATAAATTTAACTTTAAGTTTTTTTTTGGCTGAACTGATTCATTGTCCTAACTCCTTTTATAAAGTCAAAATAAAATGGGACAAGGACAGATCCTTGAGGGGCACCTGGGTTTTCCAGGGATGAGCTGACATGTTTTTTTTGCAGCGAGTTTTCTGATTTTTTTCCCCCTCACATAAAAATATCTTAAACAATCCAGAGCTTTTTGACCGAGTTTGTTTGTAGCAAAGGTTCATGACCTACAGAACCGCTTCTGGTGTTTTTGGATTGTCTTGACTAGCTGTTTTGTGAAATAATGAGTTTCCAATGATGTTTTAAATTCTCACTTGTTGTTATTTGGGTGTACTCAGAAATCTCCTGAGACACAAAACCAGACAAAACAAAACAAAACAAAACAAAACAAAACAAAACAAAACAAAAAATGCTTTACAAGTAATACATTTGTAAAACTTCAGTTTCTGAACATAAGAAAAGACCAGTTTCAGTGGAAAACTTGTTGCTTTGTCTTTTTAACTGCTAAGAAGCTTTTATTTTATCATTATTATTATTTAAAGATTTATCTAGTTTCAAGGTTTGAATGACTTTGACTGCTTTCACATGCTCATGCCAAGAGCAAACAAAAAACAAAGATAAGAATCAAGTGTGAGAAAGCTGTATCCTCGCACCGTTGCCCAGGAATCAGTGTGGGGCAACATCGCCCTCTACAGGTTCACAATGGTAATAATAAAGACATCATCTCTCTGCAGGTTCCAGCCCAGGTTTGTGTCAGAGTTCCATCCAGAGTAACACAATCAGCAAATCTTCCATGTGAGCTCACTCCCTGTGCTGAGGGGTGCAGCTGAAAGGACAACATATTATTATTTTTACATTATCATGTTGTGTTTTTATGCACATTATCACCAGAATTCTCAAAACACTTTATTTATATTTTTGTTTTCCAAATTTCCACATGAAAAAAATCCTCAGACATAAACATTATGTTTTCCATACATTTTTTGCTTTTAATGTGTAGTGTTTTTACAATGGTTTTCAATACCTAACTATTAAAAAAACACACACAAAAAGCATTTAGTTGTATAAATTGGAGTTTTTAAAGTTATTTCAGCATAAACCCTAATGTCATTTATTTGATTCAATAAAACATATTTGTACAAAGAACCCCGATGCTTCAGTTTAGCTTGCTGTTCTCATGACTTTCACTCATCGCACACATCTTTGCGCTCATCCATAATTATTCTCAAACACAAACAGCTGCATAAAGGAAGTCATAACTGTTGTGAATAATTGATTGTTAGTGAAATTGCAAGCCTCTAAGGTTTCCATCTGATCATTGTTCCCGTTTCAGGTGGATGTGTGGTGGCGCAAAAGTGAACTTCTCAAGCAAGTTCCCCATCATGTACCAACCCCTCGGCACACGTGCATGTTTCATTTCTGTGCACGTAATCGGATGAGGTCCCCTGTAGTGATGCAGAAGATGCAGCTGGGGTGAGATCTATTAAAGTCCACTGCTTTAGTCGTTTGCAGCTCACTTCCCATCTGGATGCTGTGGGGTCTCTCTGCGAGGAGATACAGGACCATGAGAGGAAGATGCCTCAGGACAGTTTGATCCCGTCTGAGAATGACAGTAAGACCATCACTGTGGTTGTACCATTTCTGTAAGAAAACTGCTTTTTTTGTTTTTGCTTTTCACATTACGTTATTTAACACAGGAAGTTTGGTACAAAAACAAAACAAGGTGATTGTTATGGATTATGCTTTAGATTTTACAATATTTATGTTTTTTGTTTATTTTATATTTATAAATCATTTCAGGTTATCTGAATTTTGCCTATTTAAACAAGGTTTCTGTGTTGACTTATTTGAGCTGTGGATGTCATGTGTACAGCGGGTAAAATAAGTATTGAACACATCACCATTTTTCTCAGTAAATATAKTACTAGAGGTGCTAATGACATGAAATTTTCACCAGATGT